AGAGAGAGAGAGAGAGAGAGAGAGAGAGAGAGAGAGAGAGAGAGAGAGAGAGATACACGCGCAACTCTGCTGACATTGTATAAATCACGCGGTGATATTACACACAAATGTAGTGACCCAAAAATTTATTAAAATATCGAGAATTAATTAAAACGTGTAATTAAAATTGAATTCACGGCGAGCAGAAACGCGTTCAAAGCCACCGTTTTATAAGCATGTTAACAGTTAAACGGGATGCTAACGAATAATTGAATATTGCTTCTGGAAAATAACTAATTCTTTGTTGAATGTATGACCGGTTCATCTTACATCCTGCTGCATTATGTAACCCATCGCGCGCGCGCGCGGAGCTTCATAAATATTTAATTACTACCGAGATACGTTCGCGTCTTCGTTACACGCTCGTCACGTGGCAAAGTAGCCCGTCCATGAAGGACTCTGATGTTTCCAGACGCGATGTTAACCATGTCCGGCTTGCAGGTGGCAGGCTCGACGGAGTTACGAGGTGATAAAAAATATCGTCCGAGTACTGTCTCTCTGACTCTGTGAGTCACTCTCTCGCAAGGACGTTCATAAATCTATGCACCGCGTTACGAACGGTCGAGACGAGACGAGAGGAGATAAGACGACACGCGTCAGCGACTAATTGAGATAGATTTGCTCGCTCTCGTCGCGTGTGTGTATTTGAAATAATTTGTGCAAGTATATATATTTTCTGTCGTATTTTTAGATAAAATTTGAAAAAATTGATATAATTTTGGAAGAAGAATTTATTTAATTAACGACACATATTTATTGTCTATAATTTGTAAAGGTAGTATGTAACCAAACTAGCAGCGCAGTTCAACAAATCTAATAATAATGTATTGCGCATCGCTCGCATCGCACAAAAGATACAACAGAAGTTACACATATGATTTATTACACGTATTATTACAATTGTGTACTGAAGAAAAGGTCTTGTAATAGTTAACAAAATATATTTGACTGAGCTTTTCAGTGCAATATTTGGTAATTGGTGTCAAATTATGTAACAATTACCACATAACCATCTGATAATATTTACAAAATAATTAGTCAAACAAATTCTTCATTCACAGTCAAACCAATTAAATGCTTTGGTAAATAATACCAGATTATTTGGTGATAATTACTAAACAGTTTGACTATTACCAAAGTATTTCACATATGTATTACATAATGTGGCAAATATTAGTGAAAAATATGGTTGTAAAATTGTTTGACGATACGCATCAAATCGGTAATAATCATCAAGTCTTAGATTTATATTAATAGCTATTACTTTAAATTCGTTTCAAGTGAGTTTCCGATTAAAATTCAGAGTTAGATGAGAGGTTGAATCGCGATTATACAATAGATGAAAAAAAAGAAATACATGAAATAATTATTAACCTGGACCTTGCCGAGGTTATTTGCTAGTACTTATCATTTGCTTATACATTCGTTTGTACGCACGATTAATTGATCAAAGCATCTATTAGCCACTGAAGGTTTTGACTTGATGGTTACTTTACCAAATTTTCATTTTCAGTGTATACTACGCTAATGAAACAGTGAAATCGAGTAAATAACAATTGTAATAAATAGTGGAACGACAATTATGTCGTTTCAACGTAACAGAGTGCGCAGGTGTGATGTTGTAATTTGAAACGATAGTAATTTAATCGTTAAAAAGTGCGAATGTGTCGTAAATATTTTGGAATGATACTGCGAGGGTGTAATGAAACAACGGGTGGCTCTGGAGAAATACGATATGATGTGCGCGATGAAAGTATCATTACCTGACTCGCACAGGAGTGGAGAAGGATGCGCGACCCCACATTATACGCCGTAGCTCCTCGCCAGTCATGCCTCGTTTTCTCAGCTCGTTTATCGTGACTTTTCCGACTCGCTGCAAAAGTGCGACACATGGAGCGATGCGATGAAATTATAACGACCTGTCGTACGTCAATGGGGGATAGTAGGTCTCGCTCGTGTTACGACACTTTCACAAGCGAGAGGGGAAATTTGAGAAATGCTTTTAGCACCTATTACTTATAAGCGATATTCAGCTCGTTTAAATGGCATCAGTGATATCAAAAGTAGCATCTGCTCGGATGCTATTCGTATCCGAGACGAGAGTTTCCTTTCCGCGTCCTCGTTATTGACCCGTCGAATGGCATATTATTTAATCCATTTGTTTGTTAAACAACTTTTTCAAGCAAACGCTTCGCTCAAAGTGATCACTCCGAGCGAGAGATATACCAGACCGTAGCAAAATTCGCTGGATGCGGGAGTCGATACCGTATCACTCGAATGGGTTACCGATAAATAAATTCTGACGCTTGATGCGGGGCGAAATAAATCTTTGGATACGCATCGCGCGAGTACGCACGACGAGAAATAAATAAATAAATAAATGAATAAATCACCTTCCAATTAGCTACGGCGCCCTTGCGCTGCTTCGCTCTGGTTTTCGATTTACTTTTAATAATCAGCACCCCTCTCTGCTCCGACGCGGGATTATTCGGATCGTCGCCCGGTCCCAGCTTGATACTGTATTCCTGTAGATAATTATGGGCGTCCTTCTGCGACACGGCGCGTTCCAAAGATACCACGATTTTGGCCCACTTGGTGAAAAAAATTGACAAACGGATTTAATTAGACGCGCGGTCCCCGCTGTTCGCTCGAATTTCATTAACCTCGTCTGTTTTCGCGAATAAACTGAGAGACAGAGAAATGGTCAACATGCATAAATGTGGTACTTTAATTCGCGGATTTTCCAAGATATATACCCGAACGGTTGAAGCATCGAATCTCCAAGTTTGCAGAGGAATCGACCAAACACGTTCGCAGCAATCTTTCTCGACAATTTAACAATTCAATATTTTAACTGCAATTTGACAATTCAGCCTGAGGCGATATTGTGTCTATTTAAATAATAATTTTTCGGATTTTGTTACTAAAAAAGTTTTGTTATCAAGCCGATCAATCATTTTATATAATTCAAGTATGAATTCGGTTCTGAATCTCTTCTTATGGCCTGATCCGAATAGCGTGGTTTTGAGTTTTCGATCTATCTCAGATATCTGGTCATGTATAGTCATATATCCGAGGTACTCTTGGGAGTCCTATATATTCGTTAAATCCTAGCGTTTTAAATATGTTACATCTACATTTTTCATATTATTATTATAATTTACCACTACGATTTATTTGATACGCGCGTGAGTAATATTGCAGTATTGTTTTGTATCATCCAACACGTCGAAAGAAATGATACAACAAGCTTCTCGCGAATATTGTGTGTGTGTGTGTGTGTGTGTGTATGCCTTATGGATTAGGAGCATTATTTTAACAATCTGACCTGCTTGACAAATTCCTTTTCGCTCTGCTCGATAACGTGCGCGTACGTATTGCCCATCATTGCGATCAACATGTTGAGCAACAATATCGGCACCAGCACCATGAAGATCGCGAAGACAGTCTTGCTCAAGTTGGAATAGGTTAGGTTACTCAGCTCCGCGTACTACAATGCATATGGATAAGTGAGATGCGACGGGATATAAATGCAACGCCGGTAAATCGCCGGCGAATGACGCCGGGCAATTATACGCGGGTGCTAATAAACAAGCGTCCGATGTAGCGTGCGTCGGCGGCGGAAACACGTAGAATTTTCGAACGGAAACTCGTATTTTCCATGCCGGCCGTTGCCGCCCCTCCTTTTAATTCAGTGCAACGAGTTAATCGTTATACGAACTGCGAAACCGAGCAATGATTTTTACTGGACAGGCGGTATTTTATGCACCCGCTGTCCGTCCATGCAGACGCGCGCGGCGTGCTAAATCTTTAATTTCGTCAGGAAACCATATTGCAGCGTGTGTTTTGCGCGACGCGGAATTGTCCGTGATTGAAATTCAAGATTCATGACCGCGCCGCGTGTGCGCTGCGCTACGCGCGCATCGCGCCGACTGGAAAAAATGTTTAGAATCACGCGACGTTTCGTCGCGATTATGACGTATAACAATTAAACAATTAACTGATACCTCGCGCGAGCATGAATTATTAAAATTCCGACGAACGCGTGCGAGTTTTTGAAATATTTCATTTAGAGTGGATACTTTGATTGTATTCTCTATACAGGATGTCTCGTGTACATGTAGATTAGGTCAAAACGAGTAGAAAATTTCTCTACCATTTTGCAAATATATGATATACTTGGAGAAAAGGTAGTATATAGGTGGCAACCACTGACAACGAGGAAACAATATTCCTATTTGAGAAATGTCTTTATTTCTGATTACGTGTAAATATATTTGAACACGAGATTACATAGGTCGTTATAAATGAATTACTTGCACAGAGACATCTTATGTGATTCAATAATAATGAGACTATTATAATATTCGATTAAAATTGTAACATTGTTGAAATTGGAGAGTTAAAAGTTTATCTAACAAAATTATAGATCGTCAGTTATATGTGCGAAACAATAAACAAAGTTGCTATGCTTTTCTCCGAGTGTACTCTTGTATACAGATGATCGATCAAATGATGATGAATACGCAAAATGTAACATCAGCACACAAGGCAAAATGTTTTCTTTCAAGATATCTTCCTAAATTGGCATTCCTAATAAGGCGCGTCGAGACAGCGCGAGCAGAAAGGGAAAAGGGTGGTATGCGTGCAGGCGCGTGCAAGATAAGACTGCGCGGAGTTGAGAAACCGTCGTGCTACAATAAAGCGATAATCTATGGGCGAGCTTACGTTATAATCGCCCAGGGTTATCTGAAACAGCGCCATCCAGGTCGAAGGATAGGAATGGTAGAGGGACGATTTCACGCCTGGGAATCCCTTGTAGAGGAAATAAAACGATTGTGAAAACCCGAAGAGCACGATCGTGTAGATGATGCCGAAGGTCAGCATGTCACCCGTTATCATGCTGTACACCATCGTGACGAACGGGCCGGTCAGTCGGATAGCTCTGTGAAAAAAGAAGCGAAAAAGTTAAATCCGATCGATGTGCGTTCGAAAGGCATTTTGCGGAAACACGTGGGAAGCTTTTATAATTAGCAGCTGATAATCGTCTGGGCGATCTCGATCGCCGCCGGGTTGGCGAGACCGGTTCGGCGCGATATTTTCGGCGCGTTCCACATCGGTTCGCTTTAATTCTCTACATTCCTCGCTCTATTCATCGGTTTGCTGCGAATCTGTAGTTCACATTAGCGGCGCCAACAAAATGTGATTATCGCTATTACATGAATGAGGTTCCATTCAACGTGCGGTATTCACGCATCAAAGTCCGAGGTAAATCAGTCTATTAACGCCATCGGCATCGATCTCGCGTGTGTGTGTGATACGCGCGAGCACGTGTAACATTATGCATACAAAGTCCATCGTAAAACATTTGCCGGCTTGATACATGGGATACATAATTATATCCGCCTAATCCGCCAAAATGATGTGTGTTTTACCTCGAGCGCGGCAATCGCCAAAGATAAATTGATATGTCATCGTGCCGCGAACAAATTGATATGCGCGTGTACCTTTTTCCGGCGCGTATGAACGGGCTCGTTAAAAGTTACTTGACCCAATTTCCCGAAAACACGTGTAGACGTGGTTAATTACTTGAAACATTGACTTGTCGTCGACTCGTTGCAATTCTACGAAATACTTCGGACATCATTTGCGCTCATTATCTTGTTAATGGCATTAAATTACAAGTGGTGTCGTGATAACAAAACGATTAGTTAACGAGTTAAAAAAAAAATGCGTGGCTCTGAACGCTTGATATCGGAGTTGAGTGTATCGCGCGTTATCGCGTTTCCAGTAGCCGCGATAACTCGAATAGGTCAGGCACGAAAAGTGCCAGTGCAGCAATATTCGGGGTGCATATGTAAACCACTCTTCTTACACGCAGCTCAAATTTATAACGAATATAAAATAATTAAATGCTAATAAGAAAGAGAAAGAGAGAGAGAGAGAGAGAGAGAGAGAGAGAGAGAGAGAGAGAGAGAGAGAGACAACA